TACGAGTTTTTAGTTGTTTCTTCAGTTAATTGAATCTTCTTAACTTTGTAAAGCTGGTCCCTATTTTCTTCCTCAGTCTCAAAGATAAAAAATGGCAATGGGCAAATATAAACTGAAGGCCAGAATCCAGCTCTTTCCAGCACACATCTGCCTCGACATCTTCTTCTCTTGTAGATGGCTGTGCCACGAGCCTCTCTTTTTGCTCTCAGAGAATTCCCGGCTCAGTTGACTTGAGTCAGGATATGGTTATCGGTGCACTGTGAAGCCAGGGAGTTGTGGGGGCTCCCTCAGGCCTCCACTGAGACTGAAGTGGACAGCTGTGGAGATGTGCCCCCAATGCCACTTTCTCAGCCTCCTTTATGTTGACAAACCTTTCACAGTAGCCCGAATTCCACTCAAGTGTTTCTTCCTCCTCCCCCATCTAGCTCTCTCTTGCTATCTTTCCTCATGGTATTCTACTTGCGGTGTTCAGCACTGTTTCTCCTCCCATACAATTCCATTGGCGGTGCAATGATAGAGCACATGCTGCTTCAAAAAGCCTAAGTTAAATTAAAAAAAATAAATTAGAAACAAAAGAAAACGCAGAGAGTGAAGACTCATGGCTTTAAAAATCTCGTAGGATCGAAATATTGGTCTGAGTGGCTGGAAAAAGGTGGAAAAGTAAAATTGAACGAGTGGAATTGGAGTCTCTAGTGACATACAAGTTCATTTGAAACATAGGTGGAAAAATCACTCTCAGAGTTGCTTCATGATTGTTTTGATGTTCTTCGTTGCCACGTCAATTCCAACTCATAGCAACCTTCTGCACAACAAGCCATCAATTGATTTTGGGTGGAGATCACTGGGGAGGGAGTGGGATGGGACATGAAGATAATGGTTGGCTTTGATCTACTGGATCGAGATCCGGTGAAAGCATGCCGCATGCCTCCACAGTTGTTACAGAAAGGACACTGGATCTAGAATCATGAACTATGTTTCAGCCTCGGCCTCTGATATGTACTAGCCAAGAAAACGGTGAAGGGAGATGTTGGACAGGGCAAGATATGAAAAAATAAAAATTTATAAATTATCAAGGGTTCATGAGGGAGGGAGGGGAAAAATGAGTAGCTGATGCCAGGGTCTTAGGTAGAGAGCAAATGTTTTGAGAATGATGAGGGCAATGAATGTACAAATGTGCTTTACACAATTGGTGTATGTATGGATTGTGATAAGAGTTATATGAGCCCTAATAAAATGATTTTTAAAAAATCAGCCCCCTGGACCTCTTCTTGACCTCCTAGGTAAGTGTCTTGTGTATGTGCTGACAACTGGCCATGTATGAGGAAAGAGCATGCCTCACCACAGGTTGTAGAAAATAGACCCACCATTTCTTC